TGCTGGGGATTTGGCCATTGTGGTTTTAGCTTTTTTTCCCCCCAGATTTTTATAAATAACTTCAGATGTTGTGAGTTTTTTTTTTTTGTTTTTTGCCCAAACTTCCAGGAAGTTTGTGAGGACCCCCAGGAGCTCTCCTTGCTGTGATTTATCCATTATTGCACCCCCTGTTTCAGCTCTGCCAGATGTGGTCCCTCATCTCTCCCTAAATATTGAACTTCTTCAAGTTTTCCAAAGCCAAACACGGGATTGCATCAAGTCCTGGGCTGTTCTGAGTGAGGAAATGCTTGGTCAGGAGAGGAGAAGGACTGGGTTTCAGGGATATGCTTTGATTTTCCATGAGGGATTGGAGAAGTCTTGGGAGGAGGAGAAAAGGAAGGAAACACTAATGAGCATTTAGGCAAATAAAGATGGAATTTCCCCTTTTGTTTGCAGTGCTACACAAATCTGCGTGAGCTGTTGGGATTATTAAGGGCTTGATGATTCATTTATCCAACAAATCAAACGGATTTGATAATCCAGGTTTATTCTGGGATCAGCTTTATTGTTGGAATATTGACTCTGGCCGTGAAAGAAAACCGCTGTGAAATGCAATTAGAGATTTGTCCATTTTTATTAGGTTCTGATTAGGTTTTGATTTAGGGAGTTAAACGAGCTCTGCAGTTCCCTGCTCTCCCTTTGCTGTGCAGGGCCACAGCCACGAGGTTTTGGAGAATCTTGGAATTCCGGGAAGGTTTGGGTTGAGAGGGACCTTAAATCCCACCCAGTGCCACCCATCAGACACCTCCACTGTCCCAGCTGCTCCAAGCCCCGATGTCCAACCTGGCCTTGGGCACTGCCAGGGATCCAGGGGCAGCCACAGCTGCTCTGGCAATTCCAGCCCAGCCCCTTCCCACCCTCCCAGCCAGGAATTCCATCCCAATATCCAACCGAAATTTCCACTTTTCCAATTTGAAGCCATTCCCTGTGTCCTGTCCCTCCATCCCTTGTCCCCAGTCCCTCTCCAGCTCTCCTGGAGCCCCTTTGGGCTCTGAGCTGAAGAAGATCCACCCCAAAGCCCCATGATGGGAAATCTTTGAGATTCCATTGCCAGAGGGACGGGGTGGGGGTTGCTCAGTAATTGGGATAAAATCCTTAATGGAGCAAGTGGTGGAAGAAACGAAGCCTTGGGAGCAGCTGGAGCAGAGCAGAGGGTGGCAGAGGGGCTATCAGGAGGATTGTGCTGGCTCAGCTGCTGCAGGAGCAGCACTTGGCACATTTTGGGGAGGGAGCAGAGCTGAGCTGCCGAGCAGAAGTGCAAACCTGCAGCAATCTGGGTGATTCAGAGCCCACACTGCACATTCCTGCTGCTTAAATGTTCCTGCTCTCCTTTGGTTTCCCACAGAGTCTGGAGGAATTTAAAAGAGCAATTTTTTGAGAGTTTACATAGAACCTTCCTTCTGGAAGGAAGGTTTAGTTCTGGTCTTGAACAGCTGGGCATGACTGTTGGTGCAGGTCTGCTTCAGTGCAGGATTTGGGGCATCATTTTTCCCACTTTTCCCAATTTTTGGGGCATGCCGTTTTTCCCAAATGGCAAAGCAATTGCCATGAACTGAACCAGGATCTTCTTGGTGGTGCCCAGAAGTGGGACAAGAGAAATGATCCCAGGAATTCCCTGCACAGGAGGCAGAACTCCTGTCCTGGGCAGAGCCCAGAGAGGGGCTGGAGTCTCCTCCTGGGATATTCCAGAGCCACATGGACACAATCCTGTGCCCTGGGCAGGGACTGGCACCAGTGACCCTCTGTGGTCCCTTCCAGCCTGACCATGCTGGGATTCTGGAATTAGCAAACCAGAAATTCCAAATGCCTGGAACTTCCTGCCCTGATTCCCCAGCTTTGAGCATCCTTTCAGCCCTCCACAGGCTCCTAGGAATTAGGGAAAGGAGGAGAAGAAGCAGAAGTTCACCCGTGGTTTATATTTGCTCCTTTTTAACCAATTTCCAAACATTTTCCAGACTTTTGGGAAGTGGGCTGTGCCTTTTGCTGTGATCCAGAGCTGCTCCTGGACCCAGATCCGAGCTCCAATGTCGGATCTGTACACTAAGGAAATGATATTTTGTCCCAGGGCAGCGGGAGGAGATGGGAGCTCCCTCCAGTTCCCTCTCCAGCCCCGTGGGATGGACAGAGCTGGGAAATGAAGCACGGAGGGTGGAACTGAGCCTGGAGGAGCTGCCAGTCCCGGCTGGAGCCGGGATCACCGGCATTCCTGGCAGGATTGTGCCTGCAGCTGCACTGGTTTTTCACGGAACCAGCTGTTCTGAGCAGGAATTCTTAGAGATTTGCAAAGAGCAAGAGGGAAATCTCTTTTGGCATAAACTGACTCTCCACTGAGTCTTGGAATCATGGAATTACCTGAGCCGGATTTACAGGGATCATCAGTCCAACTCCTGATCCTGCAAGGGACATCCCAGAATCCCACCCTGTTCCTCCTCTGAGTTCTGGGATGGATTTAAGAACCCACATTTAAAATCCCATCCTTTCCCCACCTCCTCCCTGCATCCTCCACTGGATCCTGGCTGGCACTGGATGCTCTCCAAGAGATTCTCCTGGCTCTGCTCCTCAGCACCGGGACCTGGAGAACATTTCCATGGACTCTGGAGCCAAACCTCACTTCCTTCCTTTTGGGAAAGGCACAGAGCTGCCTCCTGAGAAATAGGAAATGTCCTTTACGTTCCCAAAGTTCAGGAGCTTCACTGCCTTAAGGATTTAAGCAGAAACATCCCAAGGTTAGAGGGGATAAACCCCTCCAACCTCACTCTTCCCTCAGCGCCACTTCCATCTGGATCAGGTTACAAATCCTACCTGATGCTCCCCGACGGATTGTGCAGAAATGTGTGGATGATCAAAAAAATCCTGCTGGATTTCTCGCTTGGAAGAAATATTTACAAAGGCAAGGAAATCACAGGCAGAGGGGAAAAAGCAGAGACTGCAGCTTGTCTTTGCTGGAGGCTGCTGGCAGTTTGTTTTTCAAATAGCAAATCCTGCCTTAGGCCTGACCAGAAAAAGCAATAAAAACTTCATTTTCGAGGGAGGAAAAGAGAAATAGTAGTTTTAAAGCCTTTCACAGTTGTTGGGTTTTTTTTACTCCTTTTTCTGATTTTTTTTTTCTGCAAAGAGAACAGAAAATATAAACTCTGCTGTGAGGAAAAGCTGAGAGAACTGAGAATGTTCCCCGGGAGAGGAGAAGCTCCAGGAGAGCTCAGAGCCCCTGGCAGGGCCTGGAGGGGCTCCAGGAGAGCTGGAGAGGGACTGGGGACAAGGGATGGAGGGACAGGACCCAGGGAATGGCTCCCACTGCCAGAGGGCAGGGATGGGTGGGAGATTGGGAATTGGGGATTCCTGGCTGGGCTGGAATTGCCAGAGCAGCTGTGGCTGCCCCTGGATCCCTGGCAGTGCACAAGGCCAGGCTGGACACTGGGGCTGGAGCAGCCTGGGACAGTGGGAGGTGTCCCTGCCTTGGCAGGGGTGGGATGGGGTGGGATGGGATGGGATGGGATGGGATGGGATGGGATGGGATGGGATGGGATGGGATGGGATGGGATTCAAGGTCCTTCCAAGCCAGATCCTTCCAGAATTCTGTGACATTGTCCTCTCCCTTTTTCCATGCTGCTCCTTTATAGAAAGAACAAAAGCATTATCCCTTCTGTAGTACTTGTTATTATTATGAATGGATATAAAAAAACTAATTTTAGGTTATTTTAATCTGATTTTCTAATTCAGACTTTGGGTTTTTAAACAGATTTTTGAGTCCATGGTGTACATGCACCCTCTTCAATAACCCGAACACACTCAACTGGACTATTAATTATATTTAAATAATAATAATTTAATTGTATTATGTTGTACATATTTAAACATGTCATAGAAGAGAAGGAATTTCTGCCCCCACAACCACAGCCTGCCCATATTAAAAATTTGGAGCATTAACATTAAAAAAACCCCACAGAAATCCAGCTTTATTTGCTGACCTGAGGTTTCCACTTTCTGCAACAAATCCGGGCCAATCCAGACTGCAAATATTTACTGCTGTCCTCGGAGGCATTAGCAGAGCTTCTGTCAATAAAAGATGAAAACTCTGGGGACAATGAGTAGTTTAAGATCCCAAAAAATCACTTATTGTATGAGGAAAGAGAAAAACAATGTCTGGGAGGGTGAAATTCCATGAGATGTTGATAAAATTCCATGAGATGATGAAATTCCATGAGGTGCTCTCACAGAGGGTTGTTCCGCCAGGATTAATGCCTGTCCTGGGAGATGGAGCCTTTGGAATTCCAAACAGACCATTGGCATTTGGTGCCATGGACCTCATCTTGAAGAAATTATGCTCAACACATTCCCAAAAAGCAGCAGCACATGGGATTGATGCTGCCCACGTGAGGTTGACTGGGAAACACGAGGTCCATGAGGTAAAATCTGTGTCCACTTCCAACATTCCCAAGGATTCCATTTGGATGGAGGGCTGGAATCCGATCTCCAGATTTGTTCCCACCGGGTCAGCAGGGGCAGGTGGCAAATCCATGGTCTCTGTGAGGGATCCCAGCACATCCCTCTGGCTGCCCTGGCTGCTCCAGAGAGTCAAAACCACCTGTGGCTTCCATTTTAGCCCGTGGAAAAAGCTGCCAACTCTGTGTGAGGAATTACAGCCACAAGGGTTTGAGCAGTGTGGTAGTTGAGTTAACACAGGGTGGAAAAGTAGAATTTTGGGGTCTTTTTAGAATGGGGTTCAGGGGTACAAGATAGAGGAATTTGGACATGTCCTGACCTTCTTCTCCTCCTCCTTGCCCTCCATGCCTTGCTGTGCTGGTGACACTTTTCTGTTGGTTTAAGGCACAGACACACTGCCCAACACAAATGACAGATATTGGCACGTTATTGCAAACATGGCCCAGGCAGTTTTTAGGATAAAATCGTAACATCAACCCAAGGTGGGGGAGTCTGTCACAGACTGACCTGCTGGACACACCACAGCTCCTTGAGAAAGCCTGTTAGAGATAAGAGAAAATAAACAACCTTGAGAAGCCAACCCTGCACATTCCAACTTCTTCTTCGGCCACGCGGGCTGGGAAGAAAAGACTTTTTACAATCGCGGGGTCATCTCAACCACCAGACTCCTGAGATCTTTGTTCCTTGGAAATGTCTTGGGATATAATTTTCCTGCTTCAGCTGCTGCTGCTTTAGAAATAACTTCCCCAAAACCCAAATCAGTGGGGTTGGAACCCAGAATGGTTTGGGTTGGAGGGACCTTAAATCCCATCCCATTCCATGGGCAGGGACACCTCCCATTGTCCCAGGTTGCTCCAAGCCCCGATGTCCAACCTGGCCTTGGGCATGCCAGGGATCCAGGGGCAGCCACAGCTGGCAGTGGATCTGCCCCAGGATCTGCAAACAATGCAGGGAAAATTCCAGAGGTCCCAAAGCAAGGTCAGATCTCCCCACAGGGCGATGTGGATGCGGATTTATTGGATCCATGGGGCAGAAGGACCAACAAGGAAAAGAGGAAAGGAGGCAGAAAGGAAAGGAAGTCTGCAGAAGGGAGGGAGGGAAGCAACCCCTTGTAGGCTATTGATGGATTGAGCATTCCACAGGTGGAATTGTGGAATTTTTCCATAATTTTTTGCTTTTTTCCAGATCTCTTCATGCCTTTCTGGCTGTTCCACCTAAAAAATTTCCCTGTCAGGGACAACGAGGCTGCTGGAAAATGTCTCCCATTCCTGCATGCTGGCAGGAGTGAGCAATGTGGAATTATTTCCCAATTTTCTGGAATAAAACTTCATCTCTGGGCAGCAGCAGAACTCAGAGTTCTGCCTTCCCAGGATATTTCAGAAGGCATCAAACAATATTCAACCTCAGGGTTATTTAAGCAAATACCAAGAAAGTAATTGCTGGCAATTCCCTGGCAGCTCCCAGCAAGATTCCCAGGAAGTTCTGTTGTAAAACAAATATTTGATGTACAGAAAACATGACAAAACCACAGTATTTGTGATGCCATTTATTTTCTTTTTATTTTCTTTGCTCTGACTTTTATTTAAATGTAGTGAATAAATGGATTTAAATAAGATTCCCAATGTAGTGAATAACTGGATTTAAATAAGATTACCTATGTAATATATCCATGATGCAGCTTTTTTACTCCTTTATTTGAACCTGCTGGACAGGTGGAGTTATTTTTTCCTGCCAGGAATAGGGAAGAAAATACGGCTCAGACCTTTCCAAACCTCATCATCAAATAGTCTGGGAGGTTTCCAGCGGTGGATGGAAAAATTCTGCTGTTCCTGCGGCTAAAATCCAGCACAGGATGAGGGCTGAGGCTCTGTGCAACTCGCCAGGGAAATGGGATATGATCCACAGGGAAATGTGGTGAAAAATCCAATAATTATAGATTTTTAAGGAATCTGACAGGAAGCCTTGTCCCAAGAAATCCTCCTGTCCCAAAGGGTGTCAGGCTCTGCAATCTCGACTTGTTTATCCGGCTGCTTTGATATAAACTCTGCTCCAGCCGGGATTTCAAGTGGAATTCCATGGAAATGTCCAAGGCCAGATTGGATGGGGCTTGGAAAAACCTGGGATAGTGGAAGGTGTCCCTGCCCATGGAAGTGGGTGGGACTGGATGGGATTCAACATCCCTTGACCCCAAACCTTTCCATGATTCCATGATTCACCAGTTCATCCTTGTTCTTGTCCAGCTGGAATTCTGTTATCCAGGTAAAACTGTATCCACCTGTCCGCCAACATTTACCCACAAATGTCACCAACAGCCTGTTAAGGGGTTTTAATTTTGTGGATAAGGAATTCCAGCAGCTTGGACAATTCCCTGCTGCCCAGCTGAGGAGTAAAATGTTCAGCCAGGTGGAAATTATGGAAAATTTCCACAGCTCCTGCCAGGAGGGGACAGCCGGGGGGTCGGGCTCTGCTCCAGGAACAGGGACAGGAGGAGAAGGAACGGCCTCAGGCTGGGCCAGGGGAACTTTAGATTGCATATTTGGGAAAATTTTGCCATGGAAAAGGGTTGGCAGCAATATTATTGTTGTCCCACCTCCCAGACTTAAACAAATCCATAAAATGAAATTCCAACATGCACTTCCCAATCTCCCGGACATCCAGAACTGGGGGGAAGCTCCTCGTGGAGTGAGGAGTGAGGGAGAAGTGCAGGGGAAGCTGGAAATTTAAACTTTTGTCCTTTCTGAAGGGCCACAACATTTTTGGCTGCTCCCAAGGTGGAGCCAGGGCTGGAGAAGTTGGATCAAATATTCCCTTTATTTTTGGTCACTTGGTTGCAAAATCCCTGGCTGGCAACAGATTCCCAAAGCACAACGAGGGTTTCAAACATGGAATTCTGGAAGTGCCATTGCTCCCACAGCAGCTGGAATATGGAAAAGCAACGGGGTTGTGTTGGGGTTTATGGAATGCATTTGTTTCCTTTCCTTAGGAATTTTATCCTTTTAATTTTGAATTTTATTTTTGTGCAGCAGGAGCCTCTGGGATGCAGGAAGTCACTTCTGTCCTGTTTGTTGGGAAAAGCCAAGTTCCAGGTTGCCCTGGCTGGGAGGGTCGGATGAGCATGGGAGATGTGTCCCACAAATCCCTTTAAACTGAAAAAATCGGGAAGCTTTCGTTGCTCTTTGTTTACCCTTCTCTCAGCATACAATGAACAATTTAACTGAGCTTTTCCAGGAGGGATTATGGATATTCCCTGTGTTTCATTTGTCCCACAAATTCCTCCAAACTGAGAAAAATGGGAAGATTTTGTTGCCCTTTCACCCCCCAGTTCCCAAGATAACAATTTAGCTAAGCTTTTCCAGGAGGGATTATGGATGTTCCCTGTGTTTCACCCAGTGATCTTGGAAGGAGGGAGTCACCATTCCTGCTTTCATATTTCCTTGGGTTTTTTCCTCCTAAAATTTTATTTATTATTATGATTCCACCTCCCAGAACTGAACAAATCCATAGGATATTCCAATAGGCGCTCCCAAATTCCTGGAGCTGGGAAGAAGCTCATCATGCAATGGGAAGAGAGGGAGATGTTCTGTCACAGCATCCAGGAAAAAAAAAAAAAAAAAAAACCACTGGAATGAATTCCATGGATGCAGAGCTGGCCACTGCTTCCCATGGCAGCTTTTCCAACATCCCAATCTCCCTCAGCCCCAGGAAAAGTGCATTATAATCTCCTTCTAGGAATAAAAATATCCGGCATTATAATCTGCTCATCCTCCCTTTTCATCCCGGGATTTGGGAGGGCGGAATAAAGCGAACGTGTTTTATACAAATAAACAAAATGACTCAGCCAGTAACCCGGGATTAATCTGGAAAATTGCTATTCTAGGATGTGCCACGGAATTAAGGGAACCTTTAGAGAAGAGGGCTCAGAAAGGTCAGGATGAGGATTGGGGTCCAGCTGCCAGGAGGGCAGAGAGGAACAATTCTGAGCAGAGGTGGAACGAAACAGAAGGAAAGGATATTAAAAATAAAAAAAATAGGAAAGCAGGTGCAGGGGAAAAGTGGGATTTGGGAAAATGGTCCTCAGCAGAGGAATCTGCACCACCTTCATGTATCTCAGGCTATCCCAAAGAGAATCATGGAATTATTTCAGTTGGAAAAGCCCTCCAAGATCACCAAGTCTAAGCTGTGACCCGTCCCCACCTTGCCACCAGCCCGGAGCCGCTTCCAGGCATTCCTTGGGCACCTCCAAGAAAGAGCTGGAGCCACTTCTCCCGAACTTCCTTCTTGGTAGTCAAAATTCTCCTAAAAAACAGGCAAGAAATCATTCCCTTCATCCTTTTTGGATGGATTTGGAGGAACCTGGGATAGCAGAACCCATGGCAGGGCATGGAATGGGCTGACCCCTTCCAACACAATCCATCCCGGAATTCCGGGGTTCCGTGACCTTCCGTTATTTTCTGGTGGTCCGAACACCTTGGACAAGAGAAGGGATAAAAAGCCAGGCACGGCACATTTGCATGGGCAATTATGTCCCTTAATTTGCTGCTGTAATTATGATGAGAGCACATTAAAATCATGCAATTGCATGCATAAAGAGCAATTAGGGCATGTGGGGATACAATCAGAGCACTTCCACCTTTGAGCCTGGAATTTGTGTAAATATTTTCCAAAGTTTTCACAGGATTTACTCATTTTTCCCTCACAAGAGTCTGCAGTGTCCTACATGACCCCACTCTTTTTTATACTTATATTTAGATTTATTTTTACACTATATTTTTAATTTTGATTTTATTTTATTTTTATTTATTTTATTTTTATTTTTTAATTTTAATTTTAATTTTAATTTTAATTTTTAAATTTTTTTCGATTTTTTAATTGTTTATAGGTTTTATTAATTTTAAATTTTTACTTTATATTTACTCTTAATCTCACCATATTTATATTTATATTTATATTTATATTTATATTTATATTTATATTTATATTTATATTTATATTTATATTTATATTTACATTTACATTTACATTTACATTTACATTTACATTTACATTTACATTTGTAGTTACATTTATAGTTACATTTGTATTTACATTTATATTTAATATTTATGTTTACTCCTTCCCAAGGAACCAAAATGCTGCATTTTCCCCACACAAAAGCCAGGAAAGGAAGGCAAATTATTCTGGATTTCCTGGAAATAATGTGATAAAATTGAATTTTGGTGCATTTGCTCCTCCAGCTGTGGGCAGTGCTGGGCAATCTCTGGTTGCCACTGTTGTTTTAAAGGTGATTTACCAGCATGAAAAATGATTTGTTGAGCCTGATCCTGGTGTTTATTTATTCCAGAGGATTATCAAATCCACATTATCCATTGTTTTAGGCTGGAGCAAGGTTTGCTTCATTCATGTTCTCATCCCATCCATTTTTCAAAGTGTCACCTTAACCTGCAGTAATTATTGGGCACTTCACACTTTCAGTTGGTTTTGAAAGCCATTAAAAATCCAATTAATGCAAAACTTGGGAATTCCTGCCTTGCTGGAGCCCTTGGCTTGGGAGAGAAGTGGCTTTGGCTCGGTGCTCTGCAAGGATCACTCATTTATCGAAAGCTCGTCAGCCCCCGCTGCAGAGCTGCTGCTAATTGGGTGCTTGGACTTCAGGAGCTTCCCAAGCAAAAAACTTGGGATTGAATTTCCACTTGAGCCAAGTGGGATAAAGTGTCAGTGTCGTTCCTGTTTATCTGCTCCTGGCTCTGGTCACAACCCCAAGAAAGATCCTCAGTGTCCACAACACTCCGACCTGGATCTTGCTGCTCACAGAACACGGTGGCCACCATGAAATTCATCTTCCCACTTCCAATTCCATCCCGTCCTTCTCCAGAGTTCCCCGATTTTTTTATCACACATCCCCAAATATCTTTCTCACAGGTCCTGCAGAGTTACTGCCCCACCTGTGGCTTTGGTGTCCATGATCTGGTTCCTCTCCACAGTCATTTCCCATGATTTTGTTGTCCACGATCTGGTTCCTCTCCACAATCATTTCCCATGATTTTGTTGTCCATGATCTGGTTCCTCTCCACAATCATTTCCCATGATTTTGTTGTCCATGATCTGGTTCCTCTCCATAATCATTTCCCATTATTTTGTTGTCCATGATCTGGTTCCTCTCCACAATCATTTCCCATGATTTTGTTGTCCATGATCTGGTTCCTCTCCACAATCATTTCCCTACATCTCTGACTTACCCAGGAACAGCAAGCTCAGCTTTCCATCCTTCACTCTGTTCTTGACCAGCACCTCAAAACTCAAAAATTCCATTGTTCCTACCTCTCCAGGGAGTTTTTTCCCCTCCTCTGGCCAAAATTCCAGCTTGTAGCCAACTTATTTCCATGGGATCATGATCAGCAGGGATCAGACTAAAAGGATAGCTCCTCCTAAAATTTGGGAACAGCCCCCCAAGTCCTCCTCACCAGCTGGAGAAGAATCACAGAATGGTTTGGGTTGGAAGGGACTCGAAACTCATCCCGTCCTACCCCTGCCATGGGCAGGACACCTTCTGCTGTCCCAAGCTGCTCCAAGTCCTGTCCAATCTGGCCTTGGACATCCCCAGGTCTTTTCTGACCTTGATGATCCTCAGATTCCATGATTCCAACATCACTTCCATGTGCAGAAGTGGCTGTGGGGAACCAGACCTTGACAGTGCTGGCACAATCCTGGGAATGAGGATGGAGCGAGGTTGGGTTGATGAAGTCACTCCATCACTGCCCTTACCAGCAGGGCAGGGGGAAGAGAAAAAAAAAGGAAAAGAATCGAAAAAACTCATCTGGGGATTCTTGGAATTGTCCTGTGCAGTGCCAGGAGTTGAACTCCTGGATGATCCTTGTGAATCTCTTCCAACTCAGGATATTCCATATTTCTGGAGAAGGTGATTTCCTAGGACACATCACTGATTCCAGGCACTGCTGGGCTCTGGAAGGAACTTGATGCTGACAAACCAACCTGAAAATCCCTTTAAATTCTTGTTTTCCCTGATCAAACTGATTCTCACAGAAGAGAAACACAAAATGTTGGGGGGAAAAGTCTATTTCAGCTGATTTCCAGATGAAGAGTTGCTCAGCTACCGTGGTGTTGTGTCCCAGAGGTCCCAGAGAATTAAACAGATTGCATTCCAAAATATCTCGCCTGGAAAAGGCATCGAAGTCAGCATTATCAGCACTTTTGTATCCTTTAGTGTGGGGCTCCAGATCCTTTCCAGGTGTCCTGGAAAGTAAAAAAAAAAAAGGAGATATTTGAAATAAAATTTGGTTGGAGTGAGCCCTTATCACCAAAAAAATTGGTGTTGAGGATTTGGAAGGACTGGGAAGAGATGTCTGAGCTGATCCAGGAATTTTAACTGGTGTCAAGTGACCAGTCCATGCCAAGGAGTGAGGATCTGGGACAGGTGGGATGGAAAAAGTCAAAATTCAGGGAAGACAGGCAGAGCTTCAGTCTGATTCCATGAATTTTTTTCAGGTGTCTCCGAAATGATGAGGAGAGCCATGGCTGGAGCCCCTCTGTTCTGGAGCCAGGCTGGGAGAGTTGGGAATGTTCCCCTGGAGAGGAGAAGCTCCAGGAGAGCTCAGAGCCCCTGGCAGGGCCTGGAGGGGCTCCAGGAGAGCTGGAGAGGGACTGGGGACAAGGGATGAGGGACAGGACACAGGGAATGGCTCCCACTGCCAGAGGGCAGGGATGGGTGGGAGATTGGGAATTGGGAATTCCTGGCTGGGCTGGAATTGCCAGAGCAGCTGTGGCTGCCCCTGGATCCCTGGCAGTGCCCAAGGCCAGGTTGGACACTGGGGCTGGAGCAGCTGGGACAGTGGGAAGCGTCCCTGCCATGGCAGGGGTGGAATGGGATGAGCTTGTCCATCCCAAACCATTGTGGGATTCCATGGAATTCTCCTCTGTGCCTACCAGCAGAGGCTTCTCTTTAGGGCTCTGTGAAAACCCCTCTGGGAAGAGTCTCAGAAGCTGAAAATTCCCCTGTCCTCCTTGGAGTTGGAGCATCCAAGTCCTTCATGCTCTGCCTGTGGAGTGGTGCTTCCCACATGGAGAGGGAAATTGGAGCAATCTGTTCCCAGAGCACAGACCTTAACCCAGTAAAGGGAAATAAAACCCCCCACACAGAAATTGCTACTGTTACAGTTGTTTTATTGGCAGGAATGAAATATCCCACTCCAGCTATTCTCTTGTTTGTTTTAAGGATAACTCGGTCCTTTAGGGAAGGAATTGGGAATAAATAGAGCAGATTTATCCAGTGTCAGGGAAACATAAATCTTCCCTACTTAAGCTGAGTGAGCATTTGCTCCTTTTCCTGCAGCCAGACTGGAAAGTGTCCTGGAGGGCCTCAATCACAAATTGGACTTAAATAAATTGAACCTAAACTATTCCTTCCATGGGAAAACTGTCCAGTGTCCATAGCCAGCAAGAACCAGATTTTGGGATGCTTGCAGGGTGAGGAGCCCTGAGTTGAGGTGGAGCACTCAGGTATCCCATGGACCTGTCAGCAAGAAGGACAGACAGACACTCCTGGAGTGATTTGGGCTGGAACAGACCTTAAATGCCATCTCATTCCACGCCCTGTCATGGAGAACCTTCCAGAATCCCAGTGTGTGGAAAATTCCACATAAAGGAGGCAAAAAAGAGACAGAGGAGTCCTGGAAGTTCATTCCAACAAAGGAGAGAGTTGCCCGGGCTTTTCCCTCTTGAGGATTCAGAATTGCAGTCTCCTTCTAGCCCAAATTCCTGCACGTCCCCCCTTCCTTTCCCATTGCTGAGGTACCAGGAAGGTGCAGCCTTCCCCACCCACCTGCCCCCTATGCCCCCTCGAACCTGGCATTTCCCCCAGAGTTCAGAAACTCCTTCTCGTGCAGCCCCATTTGGCCAAACTGTCCTGGCTCTGTGACAAACCTGGGCTGGAGTTAATCCCAAAGCTCAGAAATTCCCCTTTGGTTGCTGCAGGAGCTGAACTGCCCAGGCTCTGTGACAAACCCGTGGCTGGAAGAGGGGACAGACATCCAGACCCATCTCAAAGCCGTTCCCACCCATCCCCTCACCCAGGAACTGTTTGTACAGACACCAGCCCACATCTTCCCCATGGATCCCTCCTCCTGTTATTTCTCAATTTGCCTTCACAAACCCTTGTTATTTTTAACTTCACCCTTCTAACGGCCTGGAACGTTTGGAACATCCCTTCCTGACTTTCCCAGTCAGCCTGCCTTGGGTGTGCCAAGGAAACAGAGACCCAGCTCAGCCTGGAGAGCCAAGGCCAGCTCCTGCCACCCCTGGTCACCAGAGGTCCCTGGGGATGAGCCGTGGCCCCTGGGAGCCGAGGTCTCCCATCCTTTCCTCCTGCTGAGAAATCCCAATCCCGGGTTTTGGGGCCCTTGGCCCACGTGTGATGGATGCACCCAGCCGTGCCAGGCCGTCCCCTGCGCTGTCCCTGTGCCCCTGGCTGGATTTTGGGCACAGCAGAGCAGCATAATTTTTTAAAGGTTTTGTTTTAATTCTGACACTTTAATTGGAGTGCAAGAACAACATGATAAATAAATGATATTTTCCCCACGTTTTGCCTGGAATTGAAAGAGTGAGGGTGTTAAAAGGCAGTGGCTCTGCTCCCTGGGCTTCCAGCCCCGGGGATTTTGGTGCCATGGGGCTCTGACTGCTCCGAGCACACAGCACAGATCTCCGCCCCTCCGGGCTGAGAATTAACGGGGTCAGGACCCCAGACATTCATTCCCGGGAATAATCGAGCGTCCCCTCGGGGTTCGGCTCCCACTCGTGCCAAAGCCGTGCCCACGGCGTCTCAGTTTCTGGCACCAGCTTCAGGAGGTGTTTCTTTGCTTCTCCACTCATCCTTTCTGTTTGACCTGAATTCTGAGGGTGCCGGGGCTGTGGGGGTCCCGCTGAATTCTCAGAGCAGCCACAATCCCCTGAAGGGCCCCCTGTAAAATCAGTTCCCTGTCCGAGTCCATAGCCAGCACAATCCCATACTCAGAAAACATATATTAATGATCCCATAATTGCTGAAATGACCAGGAGCACCTCTGACCACCCTGCTGTTAGAAAACCGTACTAAATTTGATTTTTTTTGTAACTTTAGTCAGTCTTTTTCTCCTTTCCCTCCCAGGAGAAAGGAATTTTAAGTTTCTTTTCCAAGGACTGTTCCATCCCTCAATGTGTGATGAGCTGAACATCTCAGCAGAGTGGGAGTAGCACAGAAGACTCACAGAAGATAAAAACCGTCAACTCCAAACATCACCCCTGGCATGGTCAGAGACACCTGGTCCAGAAAAGATTGATAAGAATGAGAACCTAGTTAACATCAAAGACAGAGGGATCAATAACCGATAGGAAATCAAATACTAAGAACTGCACAACCTGGGACCAATGAACATTGAAAAAAATGAATTTCTCTGGGTTTTGACTGTATAAAATACGTGAAAAATTGAGTTCAATGAATGTGTGATGGGATGATTTTCTCTGCATAACCTGGGCAATGTGTGGATTAAAGGATTTCTGTTGCACATCCTGGCCAGAGTAAAGTAATGCCTTGATTCTCTAATCCTAAAAATGTCAGGGAATTTTCATTTTTCCCACAGTTTAGGTGACTCTTGAGCTCCCCATCCTCCAGGATTAGCAGAACAAGAGGTGACTGTGTAGCCAGGGACTCCTGATTAATTTCTGTTCTATTAATTATTCCAGCCTCCCCCCCAGAGCTGTGCACTGTCCTGGAGTTGTAAACCCTGTTGGTTTTTCCTCAAAATCCCCCTCTCCTTCTTAGGCTTCCAGCTGAGCCAGAGGAAGTTGGTCTGTGAACCAGACAGGGAAAAAAAATAATGTCAATTTTATTTTGTGAAGAAAATCAGCATTATGGGAAAAAATATTCAGTCTGCCTGAATCTCATCCTCAGGTGCCCTTTATTTTTCCATGAGCTGGGAGTAGTGATCCCTATAAAAAATTCCTCCTGCCCTTTGGGGCTGCATTAAGGGGTGCCTGAGCAAGTTGCAGCTGCTGCCTTATCAGGAAGATAAAGGTCCGGAGAGGTTGGATGGGAAAGAATTGTCAGAAACTTGGACTCTGCCTTTGCTGGAGGGCAAATTCCTTCAGTTTGTGCCTTTTCCTTGTCCTTGTGTGTCTTGGAAGTGAATAGCCACAGCAGGGAATTCGTATGCAAATAAAAATTCCAGGATTTATCACTAAGGATTGGGATGAGCAGGTCCTGGTCTCTCCTGTTGGGTCAGTGCCACCTCCTCGTTGTGGGGCTCAGTCCCCCCAGATTTGGTCACTTGGTGTCCAAAGAATTCCAGCATCAGCAGGATGGGCTGGGAACATCCAGGTTTGCAGCCCTTGGCCCTGCAGGATTCCCAGTCCCAAATCCCAAAACTGTTGTGGAGCTGCTTTAGGATTTATCTCCATGTTTGAATGATCTCGGTGCTTTCACTCACCCATCCAAAAAGGAATATTCCCAATTTTCAGGCTGGAGGTGTCGCTGACAGGGGGAACGTGGAATACCAGTTTGTCCCAGTTTGCCCAGTCTCCAGCAGCATTTTAACCCTTCTGCAGGTGGGACAGACCAAGTCCTGCAAAGCAATATCCCAAAAAATGGCACTGAGCACCCTCCAGGGGGACTGGGGAGGGGACAGGAGATCAGGGACACAGTGTTACACTCACAGCCAGCATTAATGCCAATCATTAATTCTTGGAGCCCAGCACATCCCTCTGGCTGCCCTGGCTGCTCCAGACCCTGGCAGGGGGCTTGGAGACTTTGGCACAAAATCAAAACCACCTGTGGCTTCCATTTTAGCCCGTGGAAAAAGCTGCCAGCTCTGTGTGAGGAATTACAGCCACAAGGGTTTGAGCAGTGTGGTAGTTGAGTTAACACAGGGTGGAAAAGTAGAAATTTGGGGTGAACTAAAAATGGCCAAGGCAGCTCATTTCCCAAGACAATTTCATGTGCTCAGCATGAAGGTCCCAGAGCTCCTCCATCAGAGCTCTCCTTGGAAAATTCAGTGTTTCAGGTCAAACAGAGGCTGCTCCACCCATCCCACAGCCACAATCCCACCAGGAGCCCTCCAGGCCACTGGAGATCCCACAGGACCCAGCATCTTCCACCTTCTCCACCTCCATCCCAGCGCTTCTCCCTCCAGCTGAACCCCACAATTTCCCCCTCCTCCTCATCCTCTTCCTCTCCTCCTGCTGCCGGGTGATCTCCCCAGGGAAGGACAAATCCCTGCCTCAGTCCCGGTGTGGGAGTCCAGCACATCCCTCTGGCTGCTCCAGACCCTGGCAGGGGGCTCAGAAACATTGACATTAAGTCAAAACCACCTGTGTCTTCCATTTTAGCCCATGGGAAAAGCTGCCAACTCTGTGTGAGGAATTACAGCCACAAGGGTTTGAGCAGTGTGGGAGTTGAGTTAACACAGGGTGGAAAAGTAGAATTTTGGGGTTTTTAGAATGGGGTTGAGGGGTACAAGATGGAGGGATTTGGGCGTGACCTTCTCCTTCTTCTTGCCCTCCATGTCTTGCTGAGATGGCGACACTTTTCTGTTGGTTCAAGGTAGAGATTCACAGTCTAAGATAGGTGATGGGAATTGGTAAAGAAATTGTAAACATGCATACGTAACTTTTGATATGAAAGGAAAATACCACCTGAGAGGGCAGACAGGCTGCCATGACCTCCTTGCTAGCCAGAGCTCAGCAGGGCAGAGAGAGAATGTTATAGATAAGGGAAAATAAACACCCTTGAAAACGCAATCGGAACCATTCCAGGCTCCTTCTTTGGCTGCTCCGGGCTAGGGGAGAAAAGTTTCTTTATGATCTTTTGGGGTCACCCTGACCCTTCAGAACCCTGAGACAAACTGACAATTAGTTAAAAATCAATCAGGGAGAATTTCCCCATGGAAGGGGTGCTCTGGCCTTGGAACTGCCCAGGGAGGTTGGGAGTGCCCATCCTGGAGGTGCCCCAGGAATTCCTGGAGGTGGCACTCAGAGCTCTGGGCTGGGGACAGGGTGGGCATCAGGCACAGCTGGAACTCTGATCTTGGAGCTCTTTCCAGCCTCAGAAATTATGGGATTCTGTGTTAATGACTTCATCGCTACTGATCAGACCCAATTTTGGTGTCTACAGTGAAAATCCATGGACACCAGGAGCACAAAAGTGGAAAACTGCTGGGGATGAGGCTGGCTGGGTCCGTCTGGAGAAGGTGTGAGCGTGTCCTGCTCATCATTTCCAAGAACATCCACGTGACACCATTCCCAAAGAGAGGCCTCTTCCCTCCAGTAGTAATTCAGGATAATATTTAGCACCCAGACTTGGTAAAGCTCAGCCTGGAGATGAGGTGGAATTTTTAACCAGAAGTGGAATTTTCCACTCAGATTTTCCATGACTCTGATGCCACTTGAAGGCCTGAAATCCAGTTTGGGTCTGCTGGTGGGAGCTCTGGATTTAGCAGGAGCTTCAGGTGGGAATTTTTGGGAAGGGGCTCTGAGAGGGGAAGGAGAGAATCCACCCGATGGACCACCTCAGCTCAAGGGATGGTTTTTAATTTGTGACCTTTGACTCCCAAAATGGCCAGTTTTTAACAGCTTTAAATCAGAGGAGTTTAAAATAAAGCAGCAAATATTTTAAAAAAAAGATCTGTGACGCATTTAAGGAATCTGAGCTTTGAAGGAAGCAAAACTTGAGGAATTTTCTTGGATTTCAGCAGAGGACAAAGTCAGAGCAACAGTTTTCCTGAATATTTCAGCTCCTGGTTAAATACCTTGGCAAAGTTCCTAAAGGTCTTGGCCAGGTTTCTGATCCTTTAACCTTCAACATTCCGGGTTATTTACACAATCTCTGGGTTCCAAATAAGGAACTTTATTATTAGATAAACACCTGGCTCCTGTTTCTTTCCTTGCTCCTGTCTCTGCACCAACTGTAACGTTCCTTAAAATCCCAATTTTCCACTCACTGAAGTGTGGCAGCCACGTCCCATTAAAAGAGTTTTACCAGGAAAATTATCCATGCCTTTAAATAGGTCATGCATACACTTAGCATATGTTACATTATTCTCCACGTGCAGCCAGTTGTGCCGGATGGTTGAAAATTTCTGGAGTCACAAGCAAATAAAATCATCCCTCAGATCATTAATAAGCAGGAAGTGTGGGAAAAGTGGAGGAAAAAAGAAGCAGGGGAATAAAAGAAGGATTAAATTTGGAGGGAAGTTCCAGAAGAGTTGTGCCCAATGGACATTCCCAAGTACTGATGGAGTTGATGTTTGAAAACAAAGGTGCTGTCCTTATCCCCGAGTGCACAGGGAAAGAATCCTTGGGATCTTCTGCTGCCTGCTTGGGTGGGATGGGCACTCCAAACCTCCTTGGGCAGTGCCAATCCCTAAGCCCCCTTTCCATGGGGAAATTCCTGCTGTGCCCACCCTGAGCCTGCCCTGCCCAGCCTGAGGCCATTCCCTCTCCTCCTGTCCCTGTTCCTGGAGCGGAGCCTGACACCACTTCTAAAAAGGAGGAAGTGGGAATTTTATATGGACAGCCAGAATCAGGACAAGGGGGAATGTTTTAAATTGCCAGAGGGCAGGGATGGGTGGGAGATTGGGAACTGGGAATTCCTGGCTGGGCTGGAATTGCCAGAGCAGCTGTGGCTGCCCCTGGATCCCTGGCAGTGCCCAAGGCCAGGCTGGACACTGGGGCTGGACACCCTGGGACAGTGGGAGGTGTCCCTGCCATGGCAGGGGTGACACTGGATGGGATTTAAGATTCATTCCCACCCAAACCATTCCATGATTCCATGATTTTGTAGGCTGGAGTGACACTGAGACAATCTGGAAACACGTCCATGCAGTCCATCCTCACCCCAGGCACTGAAACTCCACCTGGATTTCATGGGAGCCTGGAAGCTGAGCCAAAGCTGAGCCAAGTCTGGATTAAGCGCTGATGGATATTCCTGCCCACGGAGCAGAGCCCAGACCTGGCCCCACGCCTGGCAGGAGCGCTGCTGATCCCACAAATAACGGGAATTCCCCCGTGCTGTCCCACGTGGATTCATCTGAAGTCCAAATCCTGGATTTCTCCATCCACGGCTGCTGGTTTGTGTTGCTGTGAGATTTAGAGCCATAAAAGAACAACTTTATAAATCAGGTCTGGGGCGGTGAGTGCTAAAACTCCCTTGCCTTTCCCCTTCAGGGAATTGTTTGACACAGCTCCATTCCCCACTCCACTCCATCTTTATTCCAAAGGGTACCAGCAGAGCAGAAAATCATTTAGGATTTCACCGGAGCTTCATTTCTGGAAGGTGCCTCTGAGTTCCCTCATCCATGGCCACGCAGAGAAAAGGTTCGGAGTGGCAGCAACAATCTGTGTTCGCTTCCAGAGGGGGAAATCCAGGGAAAGATGTGATTCTGGCAGGATTCACAGAGGATCAGCGCCCCGAGAGAATTCAGGCACCCAGGGAAGAAATCGGAGCCACATTTCAACCAAGTTCCTAAATTGGCCTCCCTAATTAATTTAGGAACTTCCATGGCCTCCATCACCACAATCACTGGAGTGCTGTCGTTAATGAGTTCATTAAGGTTGATGAGCTTTGTGTGATTTTAGCTGGGCGAGGAAGCTCTGCTGGGGAAACTGAGGCACGAGGCGGAGGCACAGGTTTGGTGTCACACCAAGAGAGATCAAGAATGAAGCCGGTTCAGGGCCACAACTGCATAAATTCGTTTGTTTTCATCTCAGAGGATTGACAAGCAACACAATTAAACATAATTAATTAGGATTCTGTGCCCCAGGCTGAGGAATGCTCTGAAAACCTCCGTGCCACAGCTCTGAGGAAGAAACGCATAAAAATGTTTTAATTTGGTGTGTTTTGGGCCAATGCAGGGGTGGCATCTGTGGGAAGGTGACAAAAGCTGCTCCCATTCCTGGTGGAGCCAATTCCAGGATCACCAGTCAAGACTGAGCCCAGCAGCAACACTGGCAGGGCTTTGGAATGGAAGAGTGAAGGAAGAGGGAGGATCCCATGGAGAATCCCAGCCTGGAGCAAGGTCCTGGCAGGAC